GCTTTCTGTCTCGGATGTCTTCAGCATAGTCTGCATCTCTTCACTGAGATGCTTGCACCCCCTGAAGCTAGAGATAATACACCAGAGATACAAGAGGATGAGGGAATCCTACTTCCTCAACTTAACTCACACCACTCTCTGATTTGGAGAGAGCCTCTGCTCCTATCTCCCACAGATCTCTTCCACGCTTCTGTCTCGGATGTCTATACTTGCTATGCTTGAACTTGCGCAACCAAGATATCTTGACACCCCCTGATTGGATGTCCTGCACCCCCTGCTTGGATGCCCTTGACTATCATGCAACTCCTTGCATGATGAACACGGGAGCAACTAGAAAACTTCAGAGTTTGACACATCAACATCTTCAATTTTCCTTGCTCGGAGCTTATTTCTGAACAACCAGCCTTTGCTTTCTGCACTTTAGAACAACTTCCCAGCGATCTCATACGCCCGTTGTCTGTGCTGCAATCCCTGATGTTCGGTTCAGTCTCACTTGTACGTCCGTACTGATGTTTGACAGTTAGCCCTTCTGCCAAGACAACTTCCATCGGTCTGTACAAGTTATCACTATGCAACTCCGTGCATAGTGCTCGCACCCCCTTATTGGAGTGCATTGCAACGCTCACTTTGCGACTCGAGATTGCATCCCTCCTTTCCATGCATCTTTTGAGAGGTTGCAAAATGTCTCTAACACGGAAGCAAAAGAAACTCTCTTCTTCACTGGCATAGTCTCTACAGATTTGGTTTCTTTGCTCTGAACTTTCTTCAAGATTGGCTTCACTGGCTCAGCTCTGTGCATATTTGAACTGCCTCCTTGCGTTCCCGTGTACCGTTTTCGCCATTCCTGATGAAAGCCTTGCTCAATCATACGCTTTGGTTGCGTATGTTTTCTCTTTGTACCCTCCGACTGGCATTTGACAACACTCATCTTTGTCAAAACTTCTCCTTCGAGTCTGTACAATTTGTTGCACAATTTGCCTTGCAACAATTCTTTATCACCTCTGCGTACATGAAGACCCCCGCCACTAGATGAGAAACAATTTCCTTTTAGATCTAGCATACTCAGGGAGATTAGATTCCTCCGTACTCCTGGCACATGTCGGACCTCAGATAAAATTACTTTTCTTCCATCCTTAGTAAGGAATCGCACTGTCCCTATGCCGACAACTCTGTTCACTGTGTTGTTGGCCATCCGGATAATGCTAAAGCTGACTCTTCGGTAAGTGGAGAAAAGCTTCCTATCCGCACATATGTGGAACGTACACCCTGAATCCAAAATCCAGCCGGGTGTTTCCAACTCTGACGAGATTGTAAGCATCACCTCTTCATCGTCAGAGGAATGCACTGCAACTGCTGTAGTTGAGGGACCTCCGTGTCCCTTATCCTTCTCTTTGGCTTGTCTGTCCGCCTTCTTCTCTGGGCAATCTTTTATTACGTGATCCTCTTGATCACAGTAAAAACACCTCCTCGTGTTGTCCTGTTTGGACTGTGAACGCCCTCTTCTTTTACTTCTTCCTCTACCCCTGCTCCTTTCTCTATCTCTGCCTCTACTTTCTGTGACAAGGGCATGTGACTGCTCTCCTTCCATCTCTTTCTTCCTTGCCTCCTCGTTGAATAAGGCGTCTGTGACCATCCCCATGGTCAGCTTCCCTTCGGGTGCAGAATTACTGAGAGAAACCACCAACGTCTCCCAGCTGTCTGGTAAGGAACTGAGTAATAATAATGCTTGCATCTCATCCTCCAACTCCATTTTGATTGATGCAAGCTGGTTCACAAGGCTGTGGAATTCACTAGTGTGTTCAGCAACAGACACACCATTCTTCAGCTTCAGGTTTATAAGCCTTCTCATTATCAAGGCTATGTTCCGTGCGGTCTTGGACTGGTACATGCCCTCCAATTTCATCCATAGGGCATAGGCGTCTGTCTCTTGGGCAACATGGTGGAACACACTGTGGTCAATCCACTGTCTGATTTGACCGACAGTCTTCCGGTTGGTTTTTATCCAGTCCCCATCCTTTTCTCCATCTGGTTTGACCCCCTTTAGCGCTATAGGGTCAAACAAATCTCTACAATACAGGACGTCCTCCATCCGCGGCTTCCATATCGCATAATTAGAAGCGTTCAAACGTATCATCGGCCCTGAAACTGATGTGGATTCCTCCATCATCCAGAAAGTAATCTCTGTTTAAAAAACAGGCTTTGCTGTGAAGTCCGGACGGCTCAAATTAGGCGGAAAAGCACTTCGGATTGCCAAAATAAAAACTGCAAATTTTTGAAAGCTTATTTGAAAAATCTGACCGTACGGATGTGTCCGAAATATTCCAAATAGTTGGAAAGCACTATTGGATCACCCAAATCGGACCTCAAATGGCTTAGATGAAGCCAAAACAATTTTAACGGTTCAGATCGGCAGAATCTGGTGCGCCTGCGAAGCACCAGATTACTCCTCCGGTTCTGCTGACGTCAGGCTGACGTCATCGGCTCAATCAGCGGCTTGGTCAGCGGCTCCGGCTCGGTCAACGCGGCTCCGGCTTGGGCGGCTTGGTGCGCGCGCGTGTCGCGCGTGCAATCACGCGTCGTCTTCCTCTGTCCGCGCGTGGAGCGCGTGGGTGAGACTGGGATCACGCGCCGGGTGCCTGAACGGCGCGTGGAGGCGCGTGTCACGACTGGGATTCACGCGCCAACTTCCAGGGGCGCGTGAGGATGCGTCCGGCCTCCGTTGGGTGTCTGTTTTATATTTCTGGACTCCTCTCGTCGAGCCCTTGCTCCTAGTATGCTCAAAAACTAATTTCGAGCAATACGATTTCTGGGCAGTTTCGAACAACATGCTGTTTTTGTTCCGAAACGCCACCAACGAGGCTCTGATACCACTTGTTAGGATCAAAGACACCCAGAGAATTATCTCACACACACAGAGAACACAATATTTACGTGGTTCGGCCCAATGCCTACATCCACGGACAGAAATGAGAATTATCACTAAAATGGAGCAAAAATACAATTACAGAGGAGGAGATTAAACTCACTCAACTCAGAGCTCTCACTCTTCAATTTCTGATGATTCAAACCTCTCCTCACTCATCTCAATTTATAACCAAGAGAGGAGGAGTAGGTGAAGTGCTAGCCATAATTGGCCAAGGTAGTGCCACCCTCACTATCTTCCTTTAGTGAGTTGGTGTAGCCCTCCACCATCTTCTTTTACAACATGGTGCTACCTACACTATGTGAATGGTGGGCTCATTACCATGTGGGTAGTGGATGGAGCCAACACAAAACTCAGTTGAATATTCTCTGTTTTACAGAAACATTTGGATGGAAATTAAAATTGACTACTTCATGTTCTCTCCTTTCATATGTTTGGAACATGATTACTTCATGTGGTTAACTACTGATATTTTATATATAACTAACTATCCAAAATCTAATTCATCAGCAACCTGCCATTAACGTTTTGAAAGAGATTCAAGCGTTTCTGGAAGCAAACCCTTCTGAAATCGTCACCATAATGATCGAAGACTATGTTGCATCTCCAAAGGGCCTAACAAAGGTGTTTGATGCTGCTGGCCTAAGGAAATTCTGGTTTCCAGTATCCCGGATGCCAAAAAATGGTGAAAATTGGCCGACAGTTGATGATATGGTGAGACACAATCAGCGTTTAGTGGTTTTTACTTCGAAACAGTCTAAGGAGGCTTCTGAAGGGATTGCGTATGAATGGAAATACCTAGTGGAAAACCAATGTGAGTTTTACATATGTTCCTCCTCAAATTTGACTGCATAATAATGAAAAAAGTTGAATGTGACTGAGGCATTTTTTAATGTTGTTTGAAATGGCAGATGGTAATGGCGGGATGAGAGAGGGTTCCTGTCCAAACCGTGCAGAATCATCTCCCATGAGCATGAAAACAAGGTCTCTAGTCCTAATGAACTACTTCCCCGACACTCCAGATGTAACCCAAGCTTGCAAGCATAACTCAGCTCCATTAATTAGCATGATGAACACTTGTTATGAAGCGGCTGGTAAACGATGGCCCAACTTTATTGCTGTTGACTTTTACAAGGTATAGATAGTTTTCAAAATCATTTTCAACCTAGCATGGTAGCTTTGAAAAAGTGCTTTTAAATTTGAGTGGAAATAATTGATTTCGAGTAAATGTCACAGAGAAGTGATGGAGGGGGAGCACCTGAAGCTGTTGATATTGCCAACGGGCATCTAGTTTGTGGGCGTGAGGGTATCGCCCTTTGCAAGGTTTGCAATAACTACCGACATTCAATTGCATTTCGCTGTTTTTGATTTTTTTTTTTTGGTTATAAACTACACAAATAATCCCTAAAGTATACTTACTTATTTCATTTTGGTCCTTAATCTTTAATTTATTTCAATTACATCCGTTAACTTCAGACCAAAATGTTGAGATCATGCTTACATTGGCCTTATATTAAGCATGCAAAAGACATTGGGAGGAATTTATTTCATTTATCCCCTAAATGAATAGCAAAGCCTTATTTTCTCTGTTAAATTTTTTAAAAAAGGGCAAATTACATATACTTCCCTTGAGATTTGGCTAAATTACAGATACCCCCCTGAGGTTTCGGAAATTACATCCTGCCCCCTGAGGTTTGTATTTTCATAACAATTTGTCCCCTGAGGTTTAAATTTCATAACAAATTACCCCCTAATTTGTTATGCAAATATAACATTCATGGGGGAATTTGTAATTTTTCAAACCTCAGAGGGGGTATTTGTAATTTAGCCAAACCTCGAGAGGGTATATGTAATTTGCCCTTTAAAAAAATAGCAAGGCACATGAATTTGACATAAGCAAACAAAGTTAATTTTAAGAACTGATGTTAATTTTAATAACCAAAGGGAATTCAACATAGCATTTGAAAGACAATCGATCAACATTATCTGGCATAGATTGATCATTCAAAGCTTGATTTAAACATTATATCTATTTTATTACTCAAAGTTTGTAATCAGTCAGAAAATACAATCATAGAGAAGGGATAATCATAAATGAAACACGCTATTTTATTACTCAGATTCAATATGTCAATGTAATACCATAAGGTGCTTCTTATATAGCTAGGGAAGCATCTTAGGACTAACCTTGGCTTGTACACAGTCACATAAGTTTGTCTAGTAACCAATATTAGAATACAAGACACATTTATTCAATATTATTATTCACTCACATATGCAAGATGCGTTGTCACTATCACTCATACAATTACATGACAAGTCGTCTATCCTACGTGTATGGTGTGTCTATCCTGTGTGTACTATAAATGTACTATCATCTTGTGTAATAATGCGAAGTAACATGTGAGGTGTGAGTGTTTGTATTGTATATCTTTTATGTTGTACTACTTGTCATTTAATCAAATGAGTGAGAGTGACAGTACAGGTTGCGCATGTAAGTGAATAATATTATTGAATAAAGGTGTCTTGTATTCTAGTGTCAGTTGTTAAACAACCCCATGTGACTAGTGTAGGTTGGTCCTAAGATGTTTCTCCGATTTAAGGAGCTCCTTATGGTATTTGAGCATTTTTCATTTAAAGTTAATGGTACTTATAGGAAGACCACATTGACTCAATGAATTGATACAAATTAAAGATTATGGAGGAAATGAAATAAATAGTATACTTTAGGGACTATTTGTGTAATTCACCCTTAAATTTGTTTGTTTTGGATTAAAATATTGGAGTTAGGTCTTGAAAATCATTAGCAAATTTTTTTTTGCATGGCCTTGTACAATCATTTAGGTCATGAAATGAAAACTGTTTTCAATGATTTCTTTCAAGACAAGAATTAAGAAAGATTATCTATTTGATAATTATTATGTGCAGGAAAATGTGTCTTTTGGGAGCATGTGACCTACCTTGGGACAGTTTTTTGATGGTTATCACAACATGAATCTTGTAACTCTACATAAAGTTTCTTAGTGAGAAACACACAAGAAAAATGAGATATAGAGTTTGCAACTTATTTGGGATATATAGTTTGTAATTGGTGCCATGTGATTACAACAACAAATAAACAGTATTATTAATGTTTGGGCTGATCTCTCTTTCTGTTTTTTGGAACGAGATGATAGGTATAAAAAAAGAGGTTCTTTCTAAACAACAGATAACCCATTTGGAATGGTTGGTTACAGGCACTAAAGCTAGGTAACCATAAATTTATCCAGAAAAGTGTTATCTAATCACTATCTTTGTGGGGATTACAACTAAGAAACGTCTCAACCACACAATGATGTTTTAAAAATTTATGGGCTTGTTAAGTTGTTTCTCTTATACAAACCAAATTACAATTGTTTGATTTCGAAGAAGCATCACACTTTATACATATGAGAGAAACGTCACACTTTAGAAATGGAGATTGTTAAGCACCAGCATAAAGTTAAAAGGTTAAAAATAATGACTAATAGTCCGTTTAGATTTGGCAGTTCATTCATATCACATGGTTTGATTAGTAAAGAGGACAGAAATAAGGTAAAATAGAGAGAAATTCATTTCTTATGCTGTGTTTGGTTGGGGGATTTGGGGAGGGATTTGGAAAGGGAAATGGAAAAGGTAAGTGAAATGTGAATAAAATATTCCTATATTTCACCTAGTTTCACACACCTTTTCCCTTTCCCTTTCCAAATCTCTCCCTAAATCCCCCAACCAAACACAATATTAGAGAGCTACTAATAATCCACCACCGCTTGCCGCCACCCACCCCGTCCTCTCTCCCCCGACACATCCCTTGGCCCCTTTGTTATTGACAACCCCACCATAAACAATATATTAAAAGAATAATAAAAAAAATATAGAAAACTCATAGTTCAAACGTATATATGACAATTGTAAATAAATTATATACTAGACAATTAGTGTTCAAGAGATGTTCGGGTGGTGTAGGTGGTCATCATTTCCATACGGTTTGAAAAAAATAGAGTTGAAACTCCGTTCGGTTCTAGTTCACCGAAAAAATTAAAATTGTTCAACTTTGGTTGCCAAATATTTTAAGGTTCTTTGAACTAAATGACCGAACAAATCAAATTTGTTCGACTTCGATTATCCAAACAAAATTCGAATGCAAAAAAAATAAAGTACTAAAAAGGTTGCTGAGGTGGGAGATGGTTGTTAAGTAATAATGGAGTTACGAAAGGGAGGCTAGGAAGGGACTGGGGTAGGGAGAGGGTTGGGGAGGGCTACCAGAGGTAGTACTGTGGCGGCCAAAGATGGGGTGGCAGGGGAATAGATTTGCTGAAGGAAAGGTTGTGGTAGGGTTAGGGATTCCAAAGAAAAAAAATATTTTGGGAATTATTGTGGGGTCCAAAGAAAAAAAATATGACCAATAATTGAGATCCCACAAATCTGAACCACTCATGATGTAATTTCAAAATACAACTCAAAACCATTTTTAAAACTCAGAAGTAAATAAGTTTTATCTTTTCAAAATTCAACGCAAAACTTAAAACACGACTCCACAATCAAATCATGATTTTAAAAAATAAATAAAAAATTTTGAATTTTTTTTTAAATAGAATTTTAAAAAGAGTTTTGAATTATATGTTTAGTTATGAGTTTTAAAAATAATTTTTAAATTAAATTATAAGTAGTTTTGAGTTGTGTGTTTGATTATAAATTTTGAAAAAAAAAATTAATTTTTTTAATTAGAATTATAATTCTAAAGAAAAACCAAACATTTTTTACTTTTAATTTTTAATTTTTCATTTGCAATAAATTATATCAAACAGAGCAATTTACAGAGGCTTCATCAATCATGGCGAATGTCATCTGTACCACATAGACACCTCTTTTGCAAAATGAAATCACTATTTTTTCCCCACAATTTGAAATTTAACCAATGACAACAAAAACTTCCTTACATGATTATTTTTAGCAATAATGATTCATCCCTCCTTTTCTCTCCACCCCTTTGGCCCCCTCTCTCTCATTGGTTACATTTTCTTTTTTTTTTTTCTTTTTTTTCCTACTCCTTCAATCACCATCCGCCACGTGGCAAGGGGGGTGAGGGGGTGACCCCAAAAGGGGATCCAAGCATTATTCTATTTTTAGTTTGGGATGGGAACAAAAAGGGCCACGTGTCGAGCTCTCCCACACACGTAGAGGAGGACACACACAGACAGAGGGTTGCAAATTAGAAGGAAAAAGAAAAATGGTTATTTTTGTTTTATGGGCTCTACGTCAGATTCACGACTGGTGGTACACACGTGGCTCGTGTCACAACATGCCACGTGGAAAGTGGATTGAATTATTTGATCTAATAGGACCACTAGATTCTCTCTTAGGCCGAATCACAAAGCCAACTATGTTTGCCTCCCTTTGCACCCAAATATGGTGCAACTGCAACAGAATAATATTTTAAAAGGAAAAAGGATAAGAGTCCTTTTTTTTCTTAATCTTTACCGTCTCTAATGTACTGGGATTGATTAAATTTTTATTTTTTATTTTTTGTTTTTATTTTCTTTTTCTTTATCACTACATGTGCCTGTATGAATTGTGAAAGTTAAAAAAAAAGAAAAGAAGTTTCTATCATTTTTTATTTTAAAATATTTTGTATGGAGTAGGATACTTCTTTTAACTTCTCACAAAAATAAATAAATTGATTAAAAGGTGGAGAGAACAAATTACTCTTTCCACAACTGATCCATGGGCATTGATACGAAGGTATGATTTTTTATTTTATTTTAATTTTTTTTAAATATTTGATTTTTTTGATTAGTTAAATATTTTGAGAAAACCCATATAGAATTGTTCTCTAGTTTGATTAGTTGAATTTTTTTTATATTTTATATTTTTTTATTTGGGATGCTATGATTATGGATTTGGATTTCAATTCCTCTGGAAAAAATTGTAGGCGTAATTTGAAAGATGGTTTTAGTTATTCATTGTTTGCATGCTTAGGTAGGGTTTGAGCCGAATCTGTTTCGTCAAAAATTTATTCATCAAAGGTTTGGATTCTCTCTGATACATTAAAATGGAACAAATCAATAGTCCAATTTTAGAGATCCGAACTTCACTCTGATAATTTGCTCCATCAATTTTTTTATAATATCCAAAAAACTAAATAAAATTATATTGATCAAAAATCGTAAGAAGATTTTAACATCAATTTGAGTTTTTCATTGATAACCTACAAATACCAATCTAACAAATGAACAAAACAAATGGTCACAATAATATCCAAGATGAACCCCATTTTGTGGACTATTCAATTTAGTCCATTAAGGTTGTGGTTTGGATAGAATTTATGAAGAAAAAAGTAATAATAATAATTTAATTTATATTTTATTCACAAATCATTTATCCAATTTAAGATCCAAACACAATACAAATGGACGGGGAGATTCCTAATCCATTCAAGAATATAAATGAACAATTCTAGCTTGTTAATACAAATTAGGGGCTGTATTGGTTGACTTCATCAATGGCATCAAGTCTAAAATTATTTATTAGGATAAATTACAAATACACTTCTTGAGATTTATTTAAATTATAAATTATTTCCTGTAATTTTAGAAATTACATTATTCCTATTAAGGTTTCTAATTTCATAACAAATAGGTCTTTTTGTTAATAAATCATCAAGTTAATTAACAGTTTTTAATAATGTTAAAATTTTATTTCAAAAAATAATTCAAATAATTTTATTATTGTATAGGTGAACAGTTGAAAATTTTATTTTTTTAATTAATTCTGTTAAATAAAAAATTCTGATGAGAAGGTATTTGTAATTTTTCAAATCACAAAAAACAATTCGTATTATAAGTAAAACTCAAAGGGTGTATTTATAATTTATCCTATTTATTATTATGATTAGTATTTGGTTTCATAAAGTGGTTTGTACATACATTTGACAAGATGTAAAATAAGGTTATTTTATATTAAAGATGCTACCTCCATGACATCAACCAGACATGTTGGGTGGCCATCTCACTAGAGATTGCAAATTGCAAAAATACCCTAAAAGGCAGCACAAACAATGCTTGATACCTATTCACCCAAAAACAATACTTGATACCCTCCGCCACTGAAAGATAGCCCAAGAAATACTCTAGCCAAAGTAAACTTTTTATATTTTATAATTTACAGTATATTTTTTACTTTTAACCATGAGCATTAATTATTATAGTCTTGTAGGGTAATACTTATGCTAAAAATGTATGTATCTTGTAGTAACTTTACAATCAGCACAACCCAACATGGTTAGAAGGGTGGATTCCTTTTAGAGCTTTCAATAGCTATAGCAAAGGAAATACTTTATTTAAAAGCAAAACTTTCAACCATTGTTTGTTATCTGGTTAACAAACAACTGAAGTGGTTATGTGATAACAACAACTATAAAGCTTTGCAACAGTTAAAAGAGTTAAATGGTCATTGCAGTGCAAGAAACTAATATATAGTGTTTAACATATTAAAATGAAATAAGATAGAATGAAATGGTGACGAAGTGACTTATCTTTCACGGTTTTTTAATCTCCACTTTCTAGTATAGGTAACCTAATCCTTCGGTTTAGGTAAACCAATTGTGCTCAAATTTGCGAATTCAAAATTATCATATGCTCGAATTATAAATGATTTCAATGTTTGACCGACGATTGACTACTATATATATAATTGTTATAGCATGTGAAAACACACTATATCACAATTTTTTATTGAGATTTTATATAAAAGATTTTGTAACAGAAATTAGAATAATCAAATGAATGACCATGAATTAATTAAAGAATGAATTACCGCTATTGGACCAGAAGATGGTAGTGTGATTATTGTGTTTTAAAATTTATTTTTATACTATAATAATATAGTTATTTTTAAATAAATTAAAACCTACATTTGTATTTAGAGATATGTATTAGTATGCCTGGAGACATGACTTCTAAGGACACTCCTGCTTTCAAGAAAATTTTTATTAAAAAATTGCTTTGAGGCTCTCATTTTCAATTTCACTCCCACTCTCCTATGAAATATTTAAATGAAGTGTAAATTACAGTAAATTCTTTTAAATTATGACAATTTGCATTTTACTCTCTAAATTTTAAAATTTAACAGTGAATTATCTCAAAATATTATTTTGTTATAGGTAACCCC